ACACACACACACACACACACACACACACACACACACACACACACACACACACACACACACACACACACACACACTCTGGTTTAGTTGTTTTGAGTCACCGCCCCCCGCCACGCTGACCCGGAGCCTTTAAGTGTGAGTGTGAACTCCTCTTTCATCTCTGTCAGTTTTTGTACGTCGCGGGTCGCTCTCACCCCTCAATTATTCATCAGCCTGTTTCCATGGGAACAGCTGCAGCCCTCTGTGTGTGTGTGTGTGTGTGTGTGTGTGTGTGTGTCTGACAGCTGTAACACATCAGGCTTCATCAGTTCGTGATGGTGTAATGTTACACGTGAGGTGCGTTCAGGAGCGTCTGAAAACAGAGGAAGAAGCAGCGTTGGTGTCAAGATTCTGTAAAGCTCGGCCCAGTTCTGATCCTCTGGTCCATTTCAGGTTCCTTTGGTTCTGTCTGCTCGTGGTGAAGTTCTGTAGGTCAGAGTTGGGTTTAATTTGTTGTTGACTGGTTCTGATTCTGCAGGGTTCTGAAAGTKTTTAAATTGTTTAACTTCTGTGTGTGTGTTCTGGTCCGTGTGGCTCGGTCCGGTTCTGTGGACGATGAGTCTGGGCCCGGATCGGACAGGAAGCGACACCTGCAGCAAATTTTAGTAGGATCTGGATCAGAACCTCCTCCTGCACAGGTTTTGTGYTGCTGCTGTGTGTCCAGCAGGGGGCGTGATGGACTCACTGTGCAGCTCAGGTCCAGTCTGACCAGCAGGGGGCAGCAGAGCTCAGAACCTCTGAGYACAACCGGGCTTTTCTCTGGTTCTGTGGTCCAGAGACACTGACAGAGAGAGAGGAGCTCCAGCAGCATCACCATTAAAACCTTTAACACACAAACAGCCCAGCAGTAATCCTGATAATCTGCAGCTGGAACACTGACCTACATGTCTCCACTTCACCACCTGCAGGCCACGCCCACATCATCAGCTGGCCAATCACAGCRCCTCATCAGACCAGCTGACCTCACAAACATCTGCAGATTAAAGCTGCAGTTTTTACTCAACTTCAGACTAAATGTAAATGATTTATTTGTCATTTTAGCATTTATTGGAATTTTGTTTAATTTAATTTAGTTTATTTTCATTTAAAGCAGTTGGGTCAGTATATTTTACATCACACTGTTTGGCTGCAGTGAGTGGAAAGTTTTGACAGTTTTAGTTTAATGATGCTGCCTTATTTAATAAACAAAGCTTTACTAAAACTGTTCAGTTCTTAATATTTTAGGACAAATTAAATTTTTTATTCTGTCTAAAAAAGCTGAAACAAAGAAATAATGTTTTTTTAATCCATAGTGTCCAAATAAACACATTTCTATGGAAAGTATGATGTTAAATATAAATATCTGCTTTCAGAGGATTAAGTCACTCTGTACTTAGTGTTACCATGGATACAGCAGCTTCAGAGGTCAGAGGTCAAAGTTTTAAACATCTTTTTTTGTTTTCTCCTTTCATCATCATTTTATTCTGTTTTTATTCCATTTTCTTAAATTTAACCACTAATCCTCACATTCTTTCAGCCGTTCTATCATCTATCTGTTCGTCCATCCATCCATCCATTCATCCATCCATCCATCCATCCATCCATCATCCATCCATCCATCCATCCATCATCCATCCATTTTTTAACCTTTTAGCTTTAAAAACAGGGACCATATACAGTATGCATTAGCCATGGAAGGAAAGATGCGTTGTATCAGGTTATAGCTCTGGGTGCTAGTTTCCACCTGTAGTCCCTGACTGAGCCCACACAATTAAAAAAAAAAACACAAGAGCAGCTGGATGCTATTAAAAAATAAAAAATAAAAAGGCACCATAAATATACAATACAAGAGCATACAATCGTAGTCAATATAAAATCAGTTCATAAAATCCATACTCCCAAAAAGATGTCATCGTAGACGCCAACTCGCTTATTAAAAACACACATTAAAAAAGACTGTCCTCTCAATAAAAATTGACGATMAAATCATATCAGGCAGTTGAACATTCCTACAATATCCAAAGCCTAATCACTCTTCAACAAGCCATCGCCTACATACTCTCAAAATCTAAAACTCCACTCACATCAGTTCACATTATGAAAACAGGTTTTGTCGTGCATGAAAATTTATGAAAGTCTTCATACCAATAGTTCTGTTGGCAAAGTATTCCACTGTTGTGTGGCAACACTTGACAAAGCTGATTTACCAAAAGAAGTTTTACATTTAGGAACTCTACACTCACCATAGTTGAACAGGTGACTCGAGATGTTTTTCCAGAGTTAAGGGATACAAACTTTTTTAAGGGAGGTGCAACTGAACCATGAATAATCGTGAAAAGCAGACATATTTGTAAATTTGATTAAGTTCTCAAAACTAAGAACGTTATACTTGGCAAGAATATGGCAATGATGAAACAACCACGTTTTCTTATCATGGATCTTGAGAGCTCATTTATATAATGACTCCAGTGGCCGTAAAGCAGTTTTACATCCCTGAGACCAACTTGTCATATAATACAGGAAATGTGGAATTATCAATGTACTTAAATAGATATTTGATGCCTCAATCGTCAATGAGTTTATGTATGCAAAATTTATTAAATTAAATTTTATAGTTTTTATTAACTTTTTAATGTTTTTTAAAGTCCAAATTTGACTCCAATAAAACACCTAAATATTTGAATTCACTAACGTTTTTTAGTTTCTGACCTTCTATCAAAATATCAGGACAAGTTTAGAGC